AATAAAAAAAATTCTTCAAATGCCCATCAAAGTGTCAGTGTTGCATCACTTGCATGTACTCTGCATTCTGCAATTTTATACAGTCTCATATATTTTCCCTTACTGTGTTTCATATTTTAAAAGAGAATTCAAATTCCTTACATTTATATCTTTGTAAAATGTTGATAAAAAAATCATCAAAACAACAATAAAGCGTGAAAGAATTCAACTCATGCGTCTTACCTATTTTCAGCGTGGTAACGCCCTCGCCGACGGCGGAAATGATGCCACTGGCTTCGTGTCCCAGGACGACAGGCGCTGCATTGAGAGTAGAACGATGAGCACACTGGCATGCATGCAACAGGAGCACATGGAGCCGTGATGTGGGTTGAACGACCGTTCCGGATCATACAAAATCTTTAAATATCTGGACCGTACCTTTGAGTAAATAATCTCCCATGTGTCCGCTTTGCCTGCAAAATTGAATCATCAGCTGCTGAAAGTAATTTAACTATTCTGCTGCTATAATATTCTGACAAAAACCATTTCGAGCCATAAAGTATGAATGCCATGCACAAGTCCTAATTATCCGCTTTCCGAACAATGAGTCTTAACAACAAATTGCAGATTGTTATCAAAATTTTTTTAATCATTACACTAATCTTAAAAAAATGAAAATTAATTTTAAGTTTAATTAACTTCATTTTAATTAATTATTTTAACTTTTAAATTATTTTAATTAAAAAGAATTTATAATAAAAAGTTTTTAAATTAAAAACTGGTCCAAAGAGTCGGAGCAGTTCAGGGCAGGATTGCGTGCTGGCAAACCCAGACAAACGGACGGCTATGCGTCGCCAGTTAATCACTCAGACAAAAAATTTTAAAACCTTCTGCTTACAGTCAATCTCTAACTACTCAGGCAGAATCCTCAGAAAACCTCAGTTTCTTCTCAGCCTGTTCTAATAGACAGTTCCAACAGATCTGCTGAAGATTTCAAAACTACGAATTCCAACCACTTCCGGTTGTGGAACAACTGGCAGCCTCCTGGTGCGGCAGCTTGATTTGATTAGGCTGCGCAGTTATTTTTGTTCAGATTTACTGCACCAAACGAAACGCAACTCTTTAATTTCTCTTTATATTTTCAAAAACGGAAAAACAAAGGTGCAGGTAACATATGACATGTATGTACCTCACACCATTCTCAGCCAAACTGCGCCAACCCGTTGATTTCGCCTGAGTGCTACACAAGAAAACCCGTCAACATAAGCAGAACAGTAATGAATTCAGAAATTCGGTTTTACCTTTTTTAATGGTAAGAATTTTCAAAGTTACTGTTCCGTTGTTGCACCTGCCTACAATTGCCAACATTCTGAAAATCGAAATGGTTTCTGAGATTTCTTAGCTTGCTTTACATCAGATAATTTCCAAATCCAACGAGGTTTCGAGAATTTGAAGCATTGCGAAAACGAAGAATTACTTTTTTTAAAAATTATTTTTATGTAAATAAGTTCAGATGAAGATACTAATTAAATTCAGTGCCAACAGAATAAAATACCAAAACGGAGATATCTCATTTAACACTATTATCTGCGAGTGCAACAAAAAAATTATCGGAAATTAAATTTCAGCCCTCAAAAGAGATTTTTATGAAGAAATCAAGCATACCAGAAATGGACGTCCGTGCCGCAGATTCCGACTTTCTGAACAGCGATCTGCACTTCTGAATACACAAGAAAAATAAAATTAATACGAATCCCGGCGCTGTTAAACAGTTTCTACAAATCACAATAATATTATAATTAATTTTATACAAATCCCAGCGGTACAAATAACCGCCCCGTTTCTTTGCTCGCACATACTAATAATATTAAATTAAATTAATATTACTAATTACTAATATTACTCCAATATTAAGTACTAATATTACTCCCATAAGTACTAATAATAGAAAATTAAATACTCCAAGTTTTTCAAATGTGCAGACGATAACGTACCATGGGGACCTGGTTGGGGGATCGGCATCTCCTCCTGAAATCACATGGCACAGTAGAGTCGACCGAGGACCCAGTATTTCTTATAAATTTATTACTGATACGGATACTCACCAAACGCAGATTCTTCACGGACTGCAGCACTGCTGACAGATTGGTATCGCGCGAAGAATACATTGTCGAAGATGATCAGCTGATCAGCACCGTAACACAAAAAATTAAACGGGACTGTAAGCACAGCACGTAATTTGGGGTGCGAGATCAGGCAGAGAGGACAGAAAAATAAGCGATTGTAACATTCGACGCCAAATTATCAAACTAGCTTACTAGCTCCTCTGCTATCACAAAATCGTGATTTTCCAATGTGAGATTGTTGAAACACTCAGTGCTAAAGGCAAACCATACGAGTGATACGACAATCAGCCATGTTGGCGCTATATCAATATTTAATATTTAATTGTATCCACTTCTCCGTATAACCCAGACTTCACGGAAAAATGTGTTTCACAGACAACCGAGCAAGTTTTAAAATCAATATCTGTCACTCCGTGAGTGACGGTGCAGTTTTAACAAGACTACTCTGTAGATACAGTGGTAACAGTACCATATCGTGTAAACTGTAGAGCATTTATAACAAGTCTCATAGAACACTGGCGATTTTCAGTACAGATAAATTACGAAACAAACCAAGTAAAACTGCAAAGCTAATGCAAGAAAAAGCAGCTGAGGTACCTGGTACTAGTGCGATGATCTCCTCCGCCTTGATTTTCAAGCCTAGAGTGTTGAATACCAAGGCTAGGAAGTGGCGGTCGGAGGTGCTTTCATTGGTGACAAAAAGCGAAAGGGAACATGATACTGACGCAGTAGCTGCAGGGCTTCCATGGATCCAGGAATAGCCCTTCCCCGGTTCCCGTTAAGCCATAACTATCATATATCACTCAAGTCATATCCAGGAGAAAACCCGTGGCTTCCAGCCATCTCATAGAGATGTCGACAGGGATAGAAGGATATCAACACCACCACAAATCTCTCATTACAGTTGTTAATCAGTTATCACTCTAATTACAGATATTTTCCAGAATGAACCTGGGCAATATTTAAAAATAACTACGAAATTCCACAATTGTAAATTGTAACCATCCGCACTACCCGTTACCGTTTTTTGAGTTCTTCATTTTAAGCTTTTATTTCTGACTTTGAATTTTGTTGAATAACAAGATGCCAGTGTACGGGACAGCGGCGTTAGGGACATGCCATACTGCCTACGGGTGAAGCTAAACCGGAAATGACAATCCTTAGTGCTACGGATTAAACAGACATGAGTCAAGTCTGTTTAATCCATAACACTAAGGAAGGCGTATCAATGGTTTAACCTTGTATTTCTAAATTTGATTCGGCCGGGACTGGACCGCGGTACTCCACCTACCGCCCGGCACTGTTTTGTGTGGCCGGAAGTAGCCCGCGGTACTGTGCCTATCGCCCGGAACTGTCTGGTGCGGCCGGAAGTGGCCCGCAGTACTGCACCTACCGCCCGGAACTGTCTGGCGCGGCCGGAAGTTGCCCGCGGTACTGCACCTACCACCCGGAACTGTCTGGTGCGGCTGGAAGTGGCCCGCGGTACTCTAGCTACCGCCCGGTACTGTTTTTGGTGGCTGGAATTTGCCCGCGGTACTGTACCTATCGCCCGGAACTGTCTGGTGCGGCCGGAAGTGGCCCGCAGTACTGTACCTACCAGCCGGCACTGTTTTGTGTGGCCGAAAGTAGCCCGCAGAACTGTGCCCACCGCCCGGCACTGTCTGGTGTGGCCGGAAGTCGATTTAGTCAAAGTTGCGCTACACGTTAAGTCTTAATATTTTTCTGACCCTAGCCATATCTGACTTGCTATTACGGTGTTAACTATGGCTGTTTTGTTACTTTCAGTTTGATGGAAAGTTTAAAATGAGGATCGTGCGGATTCCTTATACATAAAAAATGACTCAGAATTTGTTCAGTCCGACACTGAGCATTCGGTTGGATAGACCATCGTGACACTGACCAAAAAGAAACAACAACTCAGCCAACAATTCAGGAACGTTTGCGAACGTTTAAAACTACGGCCTGCGCGTTAATAGCGTAGAAGGTGCTTCGTAGACAAAAAAACAAAATAACGGGGCTCACCCGAACCTGCAGATCGCCTTGACGCACACGATCTTCAGTTTCCCCCAGCAGAGCGCTGGTTAGGAAAGGGCCAAAAACCGGTAACCACTGAAAACTGTTCCTATGAATTGACCCGCGCCCTCCTGACTTGCGGATGGTGGGAGAAATGTAAACCAGCAATACTTTCTTGATTGTATTTCGTTGCGAATGATCCCAAAGGACATCCCACGTCTGTACGGGTGGATACCGCCCAAGGAGTCCAAAGAGGATTTTCACTTTTTTCGACCACTCTCCAAGTTGACCGTAGTCCTGACCCTGGAGTGGCCTCTGGTCAGGGTTAAGTGACGTGCCACCCGAAGGACCACCGGATATGGCTTTGTCGCTCCCGGATGTGGCTCCTGTGGCCGATCCCCAAAGCGGAATTTAAAACTAATTTTTCGTGGGAAGGAGACCACCAAAGTTTAATTGGACTTCTGCGCATTATTGAAAAGGTCTATTTTAGTTTTGTTAAGTTCCTGTGAATTTTTTGTATTTCAGCTCCAATCTTGATTTACCTGTCTTGTAAGTGCAGAAGAACCTATTGACAATCATGTGAAGTTAATTAAAATTTTGTTTCTGACCAGCAAAGATTTTCTAAAAAAAACCCGCCAATTTGCCGCGAACGTTGTGTAATAATACAGTATTTCAAGTTTCAGTCCGAGAGACTTCCTATCGAGTGATACTTCACTTTGTCGCACGCAGCACTTTTCTTGCCATGCTAGTGTTATTATTGCCATGCTAGTGTTATTATCAACAAGTTCGTGCCGAACGATGTGTTATCCAGAAGTGTCATATAAGTGAGTTATGCGTCTAATTTCCTATCTGAAAGTTACCCGCAACGGAATCCCTGAACTACCCGGGTAGCAGTTAAAGCATCATTGCACGGAATGCCTCTTGATCTGGAAGCTGACCCGACAACGATTGCGCAGAATGGAAATAATCTGCACGATCACATTTATCCCGACTCGAGATATCGAAAGGTACTTCATCACACTATAATATTATCTTGCCGATGGTACTCGTACTATAGCTGTAAATCAAGATTATTACAGTGTTAGATGCTATAGTAACTGTACTGTAATAATATTGATTTACATTGTATTACCATCGGCACACTGGGTGTGCTAAGTACATAAAAATTATTTCAATATTTTCAAATCGAAATCCAGCCATGGGTCTTTGGATCAAACATACGAGTATATTGCACTTAACGAAACGATATGAGTTCTTTTAGCAAAGGCGAAAGTGGAAAAAACTTATGTCTGTAATCACAGCCTGTGCAGTTTTCCTTTCTGTTGGACTAATAATCGGACTGTACATCCCTCGCGAGTCTGCAGCTCTCTTATTGGAGCGAAATGAAATTTCAGGAGAACCTTCTATCACCGTGACATCCGCTGGTAGCATCACTTCGTGGAGGCAAGCACCATGCAGGGCACCGGATAATAGCCAATGTCCTAAAGGGTATACTAACAATCGGCACATAAATTTTATGCTGCAAAAACTATTTCTAGGGCCCTTTTTTACGTGTTCGCTAAAATACTTCTCTTTTCGCCATAAATGTAACGTCTGGTATACAATAATGCAATGAATCAGTTTATTTTATGTACAATAGTACAGTACACGTACAGGTACTTATGGCAAAAGGCATGCTAATTTTATTCTTTGCACGAAGACCTGGACCTTTAGTCTGTAATTAGATTTTTAACTTTCTGAGTGGTAGCGTGACTTCCAGAAATTCGGATGGCTACACTAGTATTGCCTGTTGAACTGTGAGCCTGTAGTTGCATAATGCATGCTGCATTTTTATCTTTTAGTTATCGAGAGCGACCTCCGTTGTTGGTCGTGTCAACCGATGGATTTCGCGCGGAATATTTGTCGCGGCACCTCACGCCCGCACTGGAGCGTATTCGCTCCTGTGGAGTGTCAGCTCCGTCGATGCGACCCACCCATCCGGCCATCACCTTCCCCAATCACTACAGCCTTGCCACGGGCCTCTTCGCCGAATCTCACGGAATTGTGGACAAATTATGTTCTACGATCCCGTCTTAAAGGCGCAGTTTAACTACAAGAGTTCGGAAATTATCGAACAGTCACGCTGGTGGAAGGGTGAACCGATATGGGTAACGGCGAGAAAGCAGGGAAAACGCGCGAATGCTTATTTCTGGGCGGGGTCGGAGGTATGCCTGATTTTTGGCAGTCCTTTTATGTTTAATACTTAGGTATTCTTTTTTTTATTACAATTAAAGCCAACCTGCTCGCAACGGAGCTAACAACTACATGCCGCACATGACAACAGCAGTGAAAATTACTAAACCTGATTGATGTCCAGTTTTTTCCCACATTGTTGTTCGAACAGTTATGACACCATGTTAGTTGACTGTTATTTCATGCAGGACGCTATTGGTCTCATCAGCTGCATTCTCGTCTTCGCAGAACTGGCCAGTAATAATAATACGAGTTTTACCTGCGCGATCACCTCCAACATAACCTCAGGATAGGTTTTTTGATGGCGTTCATGGTAGGTATCAACGCGAACTTTTGTTATCTGTGTATGACCATGCACATAGTCTTATTTCAGGGTTTTAATGTGCAGTCGTACGAGTTGACAGACTGTGAAGTTTGTCCAGTTATAAAGTATAATATATAAGCCGTATTTCCTCAGGTTTAAAGAGCACGGTGGGGCGTGGCCCGTGCGCGAACACTGCCTGGTTATGGTTACTTTGATTTCGACGGGGCCGGGAAAGCCGTGCTTGCGGCACGGCTCTGGAGCGTTTCTCAAACCTGAGAAAGAAATTATTCCATGACACTCTGTCTACTCGTATTATTTTTTCCGGTCTCGAATGGAAAAGACCGTTTGGGCATATTCAAGTCCTTGGTAATGTAGAAATGACGGCTGGGCATCTATGCGTGCGCACTTGTGGTTCTTCTTACCCTACACCTTTAGCAAGCCATTATCACTTTCGTTTGAATTGTTTAAAATCCAATAAGAAGACGATGTCGTGAACAATGCGCCATGCAATGAAGCACCCATGCCAGTTACTAAAGCAGACTTTGCATCTTTAAAGGCATAGTACCGAATGTAGCCATCTGCATTCCTTGCCCTTTCTACCATCAAACAAGGATGCACAATGGTAATGTGAACCAGAATCGTACATACGCAGAACTAGAACTTGTTAACAGCAGCAATTTGCAGCGACTTTAAAGTACATTGTACCAATACAAATCACCCATCACCAAAGCAAGCGCTTTTTTATTTAGCAAAAGTCGCTTTTTCCTCGACCACCGTCGTGACACTGTGGACAGCTGGAGACCCATTCCAGGTCACGGCCATCTTTGCATAAGAACAGCATGTTTTGCATAAGAACAGGGAAACGTTATGGGTTTTCTATCAGTTCCTCAAATTCTAAAAACTTCAGTTCCGAGGTCGACCTCTAGTTTCACTGGATTACAGTCATCTACAGTATGTTATCCAGTTTCTTGTTTCAACCCAGCGACCTGTTGCTGTCATCTTTTTTGGATGCGGCTGGCTCTAAATTGTGCGAAGGCTTACCAGCTTAAAGTAAACTTGTTCGGAAATCGTCTAATAAGAAAAGCGCGGGCAAAGTTGCAGGTGGTGTCAAAAAGCAGCCGGGATATATAAGGATGCACATACCTCGAGAGCGTAGGCCACTTCCGCAGTACATAAGACCCGACTTACAGCTTTCCGCTTTGATGAGCGTCACCACAGACGCCAAGACAAACAAGGCAGAGAGGATATGCATTTTTTTGACTGGCGAGTAAATGAAACACAAAAGTGCCGCTGAAGTGGACTGCTCGCTTTCTATCGAAACAGCAGAAGTTGACCGAAAAGCAAGCTTTCCTTCTTCATAAAGTTGCGCATTATATATTTGTCGGTTTGCGATTTGTGAATACAAAAATCCAAAGTAGGCTACGGGCTACATTAAGCCTGTGGTTTATTATAGCTCCAGGTGCTTATGTATGCCTAATCAACAATGCGATACTTCGCATCGAATTACCTAATACGGCAAACGATGCTTATATAACTGCAGGCATGAAGCTGCGTTAGAAAATAGGCTGGATGTTGCCTTTAGCTTTGTGTCGCTTTTCGTGAGCACACAAATGCAACCAGTAATTCCACATCGAATCATATTAATTTATGCGAAATAAGGTTATATAACAGAAGCTCAAAAATTGCACTAGAATTAGGCTCAGATTAGGCTATGATCTAATACCGCTTTACATGCGGGACTAGCCCAATCAACGTTGTAGGATATAAAAAACCATTTTATGGTAAAGATAGAATACGACAAAACGCAGGTTTTCAAAAAATTGTTCTAGAAATAGAGTAAAAGTTGCGTATGGATTTACATGTACTGTCTAAGCCCACATTACTATGAAGGTCGTTTTGGCACCGAACCAGCTTTTCGTAATTTTTTTCAAATTATAAATTAACTTCTTAAATTTTTAAAATTCATTTTAAAAATTAAAAAAAGTCGTGGAAAGCAGGTTCGGTGCTAAAACGACTTTCATAGTAATGTGCACTTTTATGCAAAATTTCAAAAGCATCGGTTCATAATGTGACTTTTGGTATACCACCGCGCGTTTAAACTTTTGGAATTTTATTTCACTAATAACTCTAACCGGATGTTGCGCGCACAAACGGTTTTTCGCCTATACAGTATCCTTTGGATGCCGAAATATCATAAAACAATGCAAAAAAGTGTTCGAGAGTGCGCGACAGCGAGAGTTGCCATATGTGTGCGAATTTGGTGCAGTGCACCGGGCCAGATCCCAAATCCCTTAAGTAAAAGGGTATTGCGTAATAAAACCGATACACTAGGGAAATATACGAGTAAACAGCTTTTTTCTTGTGGAGTTGATAGTGGTGTTGCAAAGTTTGGTATTAAAGATGGTGTAAGAAGCCGAAACTGGGTGGTAAAGGGTAGCTTAGGGGGCCCTCTCAATAATTACGCCGTTACGAAGGTCAGTTAAAAATTTATTAGATCAAATAAACTATTTAAGTAGAGTTTCCTATTTTTGTACCTTCAAATTCTAGAACATAATTTAAATTGCAGTTGCTTTATTGAAACTGACAGTATCTTTGCTTAAAAGCTTATTTATTAATTATGTCCAGAAAGCTGAATAACAATTACAACAAACTGTTGTACAGCAAAATGTCCTCCAATTAACACCGCCAAACGTCTTTTCGTTCTCAGTATTAACCGGTTAACTGCAGCAGTGAAATATGGATCGTACCATTCAGCTGGTGTCTTTACCGCTTTTTGTTGCCACATAATTCCACGCATTTGGTAGAAGCCGGTTTTCATATACAAGCGAAAGCTGTAGAAGTACTCCTTTGGCTTATTAATTTTACAGTTGAAGGCGGTACACGAATGCCATTTTCATGCCAGGTTTTCTCCAGGCTTTCTCTTGTGCAATAAATTCGCGGCATTAGCCAAAGATCGTAAACAAAGTATAGAATTTATTGCTCATATTACGAGAAAGTAGTCATATGGATTCTTTGTACTCCAAATCGAGGGCTCATTTTACATTCTGTAGCACATACATACAAGCGCTATATAAAGATGGGCCTGCCAAACTTAGCTTCCATGTCAATACAGATACTGTTGCCGGTAGCAGTAATAAAAATCTGCTTTTGAAAATCGAGAGATGTCCGCTTCTACGCCTCTCTCACCAGCCACATCGCCGCAAAAAACCGGATGGCCGAATGGGCCCCGTAGCGTGGCGGTAAGTACTTGAACAGAATTTCTTTTTTGTTCTCCCTAACAATTTTGTCCATGTTAAGATTTACTTATTCCTCGTCGTTTTCGTGCGTCAAATTCTGTGTTATGTTTTATTTATTCAGTTTTACGAATCCCTGCGAGCCCTGTTTGTTCGCAAGGATGACACTACCAACCGGAGTACGCGCAAACGAAATAATATTTCTGGCCGAAGCTTGGATGGTCACGCAAATGGTCCCGATCCGAGCCGCGGTAATGTCGAGTGCAGCGAGGTCGCCGTGACCAAATTGATAGAAATGGACACGCAAGGTGCGCACATTGCCGATGTGGAGTGCCAGACGGTCCCTGCCCTACAGGTTAACAATGGTACGCCACAAAACTTGTCTGCTTGTCAGCAACAACCCATTTAAATGATATAAAAACAATGAAAAAGCAACTACAAAATAAACGAAAAATTACCGGGCCAAAAACAGACCTAAACGTAAAAGCGCAAATATGCGCCAGGTCGTTACAATAAATTGCATGCAATACAGCTGCGATAAAGTGAAATCAGTATACTGTAGCTTAAAGGTGACCCAATACGTAGAACTACAAGTACGTTATGTTCATCCAGGGAGGCTTTCGCGCAGTTCCAGTTTCCAAACACTTTATTGGGTTGCTTGGTAATACTTTTTTCCAAATACGTTTTGACCAAACCAACGTTTACCGTACACAATGGTGTTTGACTTATCAACGATGCTGATGAGACACGTAGGATTCTACTTTATTCGTTGTTGTCGTACCTTTTATCAATGGTCATAAAATGCTTGACATTGCATGTTCTTTCTACCTTGCATGTACTGTCAGTTTACAGATTAAAAGTTCAGATTAAAGCACAGCGCAAACAAAGCAGGAACACTCAAACTTCAAATTGCAGTTTTTTTTTGCAGCGTCGTCAGCGAATGATTCCAATTCTGAAGAAGGATCGGTACCGTCCAGAGAGTTGGTGCTCGAGTATAAGCACAGGTTCATTGGTTACGGCTATCCGGGCACAAGGCAAACAGCGCGAAAGAAAAAAGTCAAGACTCCAAGGCACAGGGCGTAACGCATTGAATTCGCGTACGTCTGTAATTAGCGTCGATAGAAAAATCACATCTAAGGTCGGTAGCTGAAAATAGCACTAATCTGTAAGAGTTTGCAACTCAGCTATTTATCCGTATGATTGTATACTTATAATGTTCTTTTTATTTAAAATCGTTTTAATGTTTTTGTGTTGATCTACCAAACTACAAGCAACTTGCAAATTTAAGTTTCTAGGGATTGCGAAACACGTGTGATGTTAATTAAATGCGCGTAAGGTAGCCGGCAAGAATGTTAACATGTTCACGGTTCACGGTGTGAGCATATTTGACGGGCGAAAATGCTTGTGAGCATTCTTAAAGGGCAAAAATGCTCACGAATGATATCATGCTGGTGCATGTAGATCTGTGTGTTGCTGCGTGAGGCATGCATTATGCATTTATGTTCGTTTACCTTTTGTTTTTTGTTAGTTTCGTTGGTGGCCCGCTATGCTAATATTTGGCGATTGGAATTTCAAAGCGCAGTTGAAACTCGTGTAATTTTTCAGTATAAGTTACGGCTGAATCTGTATTATTGTTTTCTGTTGTTTATCGAGCAATTGGGCGTGTTTGGGTACAACTATGTGGCGCACCTAGCGGTAATATCTTTTCATTACCGTCTCTCGGCTAGTACGACCAATAACTAATAATCATTAATAATTCAACAAACGCAAAAAAATTCGCGCTAGCGCGCAACCAGTTCGAGGTACGGAAGAATGAAAGAAATTACACAATATACCTCGTACAACAATGAAATAGATTTTAAAAATTTTATGGTTCGCCTGGTAGCCTGCATGAATGCATTTAGTCTGAATTGCCCTCGTACACAAATTATGCCATATGGATGCCGGGCCATATGTACGATCCACCGGCACCGCTCATCTCAGTAGTCTCCGATCGGAAGCTGCGCTTCGTCGTCGGCTAGCATAGGATGCAGTGTGTGTGTGACTTGGTTGGAGTAAACATCAATAATAATATTAAAGTGGTTAACATCATCGTGGTCCTGTTGGTGTTTGTGTTGCGAGTGACCTTTAGGGAAAGCAGTAGTGTGTACCTAGGCGGAAGTTGCTGTTTTGGTAATCCTGTAGTGTCGTAGTGAGTGTGGTGAGAGTGTGTAGTCCATCTCTTGTCTACGGAAGTAGGCAACAAGGCAACACCAGTCTCCAGAGTTCCTTCTCTGCTGACTGCGGTCAGGTTGGTTCTAGTAAGATACACGCGGTGCGTGTATTGTGTGAGTACTTATTGTACAATAAGCATTTACAGGTGCTCACAAACGTGAGCATCGCCGCCGGGCACCCTTACTCAAAAATCGTGAGCATCTCTGCTTGCATCTGTTCGTTGTTCCTATTCAACCTCCATGCTTTGCTTGTCACGACCGCAATGCAGTTATAACAGGTAACATAACTGCGGCGCCTCTGATCTGCCAGAAAGAGCCCGCAATGGCAGCGGTATCTAATTGCGGCACACTGAACATTGCTATTCTACCTTTTGTTTTTATTATTGTTTATTTACGAAATACGTACATACTTATAATTAAATAACAGGTTGTGAGAGCATTTGGCGCATATTTACTTCAACTTTGGTCTAACAAAACACTTTTTTATTTTATTTTATATTAATTAATTCGACAGTCAAATGATTTGAAATTTTGAGTACAGTGTCTAATGTGTATTGTTCTTTGTCGGGAATACACAAACGGAACTGAGCTAATACTTTGAACGCATCGTTGTGCACCGAAAGTTACTTTTCCACTTTCGGCAGTTCCAGATCTTCCTCTTCCGCACCCGCCACAAATACTCCCGAATTCAATACAGATTAATGACTATACGGCTGTATGCTGTAAGCTGTATACCGCATACAGCCGCAGTGATTAACACCTTTACATTAACGCATATTCTTATCGTTCTGTCTTTGTTAATGGAAACAGCTTACTGGTAATAGCAGTATCCGATTACCGCTGACAGATTCAAGCGTGAGCATAGTACCCGCCCGTCACGCGTGCTCACAAACGTAAACATCCTTGCCTGGCCCTTGTTCACGAGCGTTCCACAGACTGCAGAGTCCAGACTGCATACAATTACATTTACATACAACCATCATACCATGTGAAGTAATAGCGCCTCTGATCTGACTTACAAGAGCGGCTAAAATATTTATATTAATTAATAGCGGTATCGGATTACCGCACAGTCCTGCAAACGTGAGCATCCATGCCTGGTACCCATATTAAAAAATAATGTATGATGTTCCCAGAAGATGGAGATGCATCTGTGTGCTAAGCCTCCCCGAGTCCATAAAAAACTTAGCGTATCTGAGCAGCTCATTATCGTTATTTTTAATTTGAGCATAAGGGCAAGCTGGGCAACTGCCGTATTTTATCAGTTTGACACTAAATGTATACACATTCTCATTTTTGATACAGGTTCACATGTATCTTCTTTATGAGTAGGTTTATGTGGGCGCAAGGGAAGGCTCCCGTCCATGTGCATGAACTTAAAAATGACGCAGCGTACCAGAATCCGTTTAAAAATGCACAGCAGCAGTAGAAGACAACCCTCTCTTGCGATTTAATAGTTACCGTATATTGGCACATCTCACTCAGTCTGTGTTTACCGGTATCCTGCGCCGGTAAAAACGTATAAAGAGAACAAACGTGAGCATCTTTGTCCGGCACCATTTTCACAAATGCGCAGAACAAGATTAAAGTTTTTTAGACAATGGGCAGAATGCAAAAATAATGCATAAATTAACAGTCAGTGTTATTCCTCGCAAGAGCAAGAACGAAAAAATATACTTGTTTTCTTTGCCAGTTGCAGGAAGCAACAACACACAAGGCACAAACGTGCTTTACAATAGGTTCATGGGGCATAAAGGGATTGCAACAAAAAGTCGAGTGAAAAGTTTGTTCAAAGACATTAAATTTTACATACGGTATTTTTTATTCTTGATTCAAATGCAGCGTTTACAGCGAAAAAACTTACAAACATTTTAGATAAATACTGAAATGCGAGTTTCATGCATGCATCGTTTCATGCACACAGAAATCGTTTAGTTTACGCATGAGCGCACATCGCAAATTTAGTAATAAGTTTTATTTGATGACCGCCAAATGCATCATGGCGTTGTATTTAAAACAAATTACATTACATAATTTTCTTAAACTGTTCATGTTCATAAACGTGAACATCCTTGCCCAGCATACAAGTTTTCACGAATTCAGCGTAGACTACAGAGCCGTAAATTATAATTATTACATGCATAGCATTCAGCGGCAGAGACTAATGCCACAAGATTAATGCATCTTCAATTAATTACATACCTCGTAATTACTGTATAAGAGCAGCTTATTCATCGTCAGCAGTATGTATCCGATTACCATGCCGTTATATACGTGAGAATTCCAGCCCGGCACGCGTGCTCACAAACGTGAACATCCTGCCCGGCGCCCATGTTCACGATCGCAGTATAATAATAATATTATCGTTCTTTTACATACCCGCATTTGTCGAAGTACGAAAAACCACACCGGCATTTCCTGGGAATACAATTTTAAGAATAAAGAAATAAAAAAGAAAAAGGAAATAAGTAGTTTAGCTAGGGATACAATACACAGAATACCTTAAGGTTTGTAAGCATATTTATTATACTGTACTAGTAGAGTGTGTCCAGTAAGTATGGAAGAATTGAAGTAAGTACTTATACTGTAAGTTTAGTTTTCACTGTTCAGACTTGCTCCAAAGTTTCACACCCATGCGTTCTCTGCAAAGATATCGAAAGTCCCATCCCAAGCTGCATGGTGCAGCCCACAATGGAAACTCGCGGCCTACTTTGCTTAAATACTTGCAAGGGGTAAATTTTGTTAGTACACCTAAAAGCAAATCAGTTTTGTGGTTATATCAGGTTTCTTAACAGAATTAGTGAGAGCTATGGAAAACGGTTGTTTCAAATGAATCGTAAAATTGACCGGCTGCTGAGAAATATCGAAGTACTTGATTATGGAATTAAGCAATCGTAAACCAATAAGCCAGCTGATTACAATGCACCTCGAAAATAGATTTCACTGTTTTGAACTAAAAACCAAAGGTCATGCAGTGACTAGTTGATTAATGCAATCTAAAATATGAATAATAATTCTGAATTCTAAATTATGATTGTAAACTCGCATGGACCATCGAAATTCTGATTTAAAACCGTGTCATTATCACTCTTCTTAAATATTAACATTATTGATGGAATTTTCTAAATTTATTAAAAGGGCTAAAAAACGTTAACATCCCGCCCGGCATCGATGTTCACGACCATATAGCACACTGGCTGCATATGCAGGTACGCAGAGATGGCAAAGTAACCGTTTCCCTGAACTGCTAATCAGCGGCATCCAGTTACCGCAGAGTAGCAAACGTGATCATCTCTGCACGGCACCATTCAGTAAATTAACGTCCATCCTGTTCTGTTCGCAAAATCGCCTACCCGTATTGAATTTAAATAAAATTAATAAGTATTATTAGTCAGAAATAAACAGTAAGTATCACCGCGCCTTTCTGCACAAGAGGAGCAGCCGGATAGGGAATCTTTTGACGGATGCAATGCCACCTCTATTCAAACTCGTAGCTGTGTGGTCCTGCTCCAACCATACAGAAACTGCTTTAAAAATGAATGATAAAATTCACCGAATTTTAGGAGAGACAAATTTGATGAGACCAGCGTTTTATTCCCATTCAATTAAACCCATCCTTTGCGTACTGAGCATACAGGAACATTTAATTTCCAAGCGGATACAGAGAAAATCAACACTGATATGCATAATTTCATTCGTGAGCATTTTCGTCCGTCAAATATGCTCACAACGTGAACCGTGAACATGTTAACATTCTTGCCGGCTACACGTGTACACGATCATACATTGCGATATACGATCGTGAAAACGCCAAACTTTCTGTAGTGTCTATATGCTGGAAGAAGCATGGTTGTCACCGTGAACAATACGTTGTACACACTGTAATAGCGTTTTTGGCGATGGCTGTTGATGTGAAATTATCGCTCTGTTCAATAAACATAAACTGGTAGCTAAGGTCATGACAAGGAGGTTTCGGTGCTTGTGGCACTTTATATACGCCGCGGTTTTGAAAGTTCAGACATCCCTCCAGCGTCAGCTGTTAAGCCAGACCGCCTCGCTAGCTTAATACCCAAGGCTATTAATTGTTATCGAGGATATAGATCTGTAATTACCATGATCGGCCGCCCCGAGGAAAATGGCCAGGAAAAACCGTCAAGTAAATCAAAAAAACGGGTATCACCATTGGACTCTGCATGTTCCAAAAGGGACGTACATGCACTTGTTTTCGAAAATATCTGCCCTGAGTTCCTCGCTTGTTACCCTCATAACTCCGCAACGAGATGTTGCGCGCGAAAACGGATTTCCCGCGTTATGTACACAGATCATTTGGCTACACTAAACCAAAAGCAATACAAAAAGTGCTTGGAAGTGCGCGAAAGCGAATATTCCCGTCAGAGTGCACGAATTTGGTGCTATGTACCAGGCCAAACCCCTTAAAGCGTTGTTACGTGGAGCAATGAGTCATGACTATTCAAATAGGGTAATAAAAAACTGCTTTCCAATAAACTTCTTCAAAATGTTTCAGTATTGTCACATTTGTGCAAAACTCATTAAAGAAAAGGAATTCTTTGAACTGGCTCCAAAAAACCTTCGTCGTAAAGACGAAAAGCTGCAAAAGGTCCATTTTATTAATTAGTCATATTATTGTCGAACAGGCCAAATTTCTTACAGTTTTATCGCGCCGGAATCCTCGTAAATTAAAGAGAGGTGTGCTGGTACACAGTACCAATTATTAATTAGTGTAATCAAACACCTATTTCAGACACCGGTATTCACCGCAGGTGAATTTCGGGGCCTCGCTCTCACGAGGCTTGCATGTTAATTAGCGTAATCAAATGCACGGGAACTTTTGTATCTGCGCCCTCTTATTCATTGCAGATTTTAAATCGCATTTTTCAAGGTATATTTTGGAAATAAAATGGTGGGAATTTCATTTGGTAAAAACGGCCAGCATGTACGCAAGAACGGAAACGATGCCCTTGCCCACTGCTCAGAGCTTGAACTGTTGAATGCACAGAATCGCGCAAAGGGTCACACCTTCCACTGACCACTACGGATCAACTGAAAAATACATGACCACGAATCAGGCCTGTTGAGTAAACAGAAGTTACCGGATCTCGTAATACTGTTTGTTGTTTAGACCAAATAGGACCAGAACCGTTGCCACTGCGGCACTGCCTAGTTTACTGTAGTGCTAATGCTTTTTTAAAAGTTGTTACAACAATTCAAAGAACGCAGTGCCGGCCTGTGCAAAACTCACACTATCCCCCGACAAGGTTCACTGAATTACGGGAACGGTCGCCATTGCCCAAGATTAACAACTTGTCACCGCCCTTAGAGCATTACTACCTGCATGGATTCGAGTGCCAGAGTGAAGGCATCTACAGTTTTTTTATGCTAAATGCAATTTTTTCAAAATTTTATTCGAAAAAGCTCGAAATTCAGAACAGTTCAGCCCATAGTCCATACCAGTGCATTGTATATATATAAAGATCACTGATCAGGGATGCTGCCTAATTGACGGAGTTGTCTTTTACACAGGAACGGAAGACAGTGCGTAATCGCATAACTTATTTCTTAACAGCTTGGTTTTTGTGTGCGCTTTTTGTTCGAAAATTCGTAGCGTGGGACGGCTATTCCGACGATTCTGTAGTACATTACGTGCTGGAATAGCCATGCATATTGTACTTGTACTCCCAGTGTACTCGTACACTGTGCGATTACGCACTGCCTTCCGTCGTACGTAATAGCAGGTCCTGCACTCCGCTTATTCAGCAGACCTGACCAGAGATGAGAGATTCATATATTTTTGCATTGGTATGGACCTATGGACCTATGGTTGAGGCGTTTTGAAAATCGCAAAGTGCAACAGATCAAATCGTATACGACCAAATAATATACCGTACTACAAACTCGTACTCTGTATCTGTTCGCTAAAGGTTCGCTTTGATTTTTCTTCGCATGCTGCATTCTAATAAGTCGCGGACAATATACGAAACATGACTTTTTTTCATATTCAGTATTCAGACTTCGGATCGCACAAGAACTATTTTCCAAGAAATTGACTGTAGACCACAAAGAGCATCTGAGGGAAAGCCGAAGATGACAGTTGTTCATTACTACTAATTTTTAAAGATTCGTTAAAGAGAACCATCAAACCACCATGCATAATGCATTCTACTGATACTTATGGTGGACCACTGGACCTTACATTCAAAACGAATCAGGTTTCATTATAAGAGCACCTTTCAAGGTGGCTTTGCGTATCTGTGTGAATAGCAACTGTAAACAGCATCGCGTGTGGTTGTGCAACCATATCAAAACGATGTTAAGTTACTCATAACATTTGCATTGATTCCTGAAAAGGAAGACCACAATGGAGGCACCAGTCGATCCATAAGGTCTCTTTTTAATCGCCGCGGTTCGGCTATTAAGCTAAAAATTGCACGTGCAAATTTTCCTCTTCGGAAACGTATGTGCGTAGTGCATACAGCAGCATTCTTCCCTTGTTGGCATCTGAGAGTGGCAAGCCGGCGTATAGTCTATGCCAAGCGACGTGCATCAAGAAACGGGAAATGCAGCCGCTAGTCCCACACACTGGCAGTGCAATGTTAATAACTGCATCAGATACGGCAAGTGGTATCCGACTATACGGCAACTGCACTAAACTAATTTCCTGCCTAAACTAATACTGCCGCCTACAAGACTGCTTACAAAAATCACTGCCAAGGTAGTCAACTTTTTCGCCTGCCGCGTCTTTCCAGCTACCGTACAAATTTTGATGGTTAAGTTATAATTTCCTAACGATTATTGTTCTAGATAAACACTTAGCTTTTCAATAAATAAACAAGAAACCATTGGTTCGGGCGTTCAGCATTAGTAGTATGTTGTTTAATTGATTAACTCCGATCGGGTAAAATGCCCGGTTATCGAAAATCGATTTTTTCTGAGTCTGTGTGGTCTACCTTTAGCCCGCAAGCACTTTACGTCACTATATTCGACAAGCAGCGTATATGCTCGAGGGGAGGATAATAACTGTTATTACATCACGCATCCAGGCTGATCCAACTAATCTTCCCGAAATAGCCTTGCAAGTGTAGGATGCAGCACCGCTTACCGAGTACACACAGCCTTGGTCTTCACTGCGGCAACCGGATATATCGGAGAACAGCTCGGATGATGATGATGCGGTGTGATCGTAATTTCTTTCCAACTTACACGAACTCCACCATATGCTGCGGATGATGTGCTCCCGATGATAATGCTGTGTGATCATGATCTTTTTTATTAACTTACAGGCCTTCCACCATGTGTGGTGGTAGTCTCGTTAACAACATGGAAGACAATCGCGTTTATTTTGCACCAAAGCATGAGTACAGCGATTTCTGCAGAAGGTATGATGATGATCTCGCCACCGACACCAGCACAACCGCTCTTTCCCTTTGTGGCGTATCTTGTGCCTCTGGCTCGGTTTCTCTCTGTGTCCATGGAAATTCTGCGTGCACGTTGGTGCAGTCAGGATTATTTGACCTGCCATGGAGTGATGGCAAATTCGAAGGAGACATGAAGGAAATTGATTTTATTCGGGAGGCGGACGATGTGCAATTCACTGATAATACTCGAGAATTGAACGGTTCGGGTCCTTCTATGACCGACATGATTTTGCGTTCCCCGTCGCAACTGTCCTCGCCGGCGTTCTCTTCCTCATCGACATTTGGGGCCCATGCGACGAAATTTTTGTGCCCTCGATTTAATAAATACGAGGATGCGCCATCGGAAACCTTTACGGTGCCGAAGGGAAGTGCGGATATCCCCATCGAAACATGTGGGTGGGAGGTGCAGATTTTTGTCGATAGGAAACCCGAGTGAGTCTTTAAAGGTGTATGCTTGCCGGTTACAGTAACAGAGCGGTTTATTTGATATTGTGAATATTCGTTACCCGATACCTGTACCTCTCGTTACGTCTATGGATCCATCATATTGTACAACTTAATTAGACATAGGCAAATGTAACTCGCGTAGGCGGGACGGGCACTACGAATCCGAGAACCGAAAGCCGGTGAAATAATCTGCTGTAGACACTACTTGAAACGCTTTATAACCATAAGTAAACTAAAGCAATTTGCGTCTCAAGCCAGGCGCCGATTGGTTCAGAAAGGACATCAACTTCATTGTGCACTTGTTACTTACTGTCGTGGACTCGTCGTTGTGAATTTTTGACAGCTATCAAAGAGTACAGTTTACTTGCAAGTTGCAGTCATGCGAGTATACAGTACGAAATACCGTACGAAGTATCCCTTATTCTGTACACAATCGCATTCTGTAAATTATTGTACAAATGCCAAAATAAAAATCATTGCGTAGGTGTCACCGTGCGCATTAACTAATAGATTAAACAAAATTCGTTCGTTACTCTTCGTTCAAAGCGGCCGGGGATCACAAGAAAGCAAAGCCGCAGCTGTTTCCTGTTATATTTGTGTTGTTACTATTATTGCAGTCAAGGTACTATAGTAGGCAGTAGAATTGATATATCACTGATGTACGTGACAGTATATACTTGTACACTTCTGTACAGAACGAAAACGTTGTTTATCACACCAGTTTGATATTTGAAATTTGGGCTGCGGTTCGAGGCGTTGTACAGTATAACGAGTACGGATCCCGTACACCGCCTTTTTTGTTGATGTTTTACTTGTTATCCTGCCCAGAATAGGAGTTCGGGGTGTAAACAATTCCATAAATCAAGAAGAACTTTTCCGGATAACTGAAACAGAATATAGTCGAATATCGCGTACATGTAGAATTCTTTAAAATTATTATAATGTTGCAGATTTCTGTATAGCTTCTTGGACTTGGAGTATGCGGGTAATAAGTAGCATTTCAACAAAGGAGTAAATGTCACCTGGGCTCTCTTTTGATAACATCAGCCACCTAAGTCTGCGTAGATGTCACATGCAGTCACATGCAGCTTCCGTAACGAGGACAGTGAAGTTTAATCTCTTATGTACTGTATCCTTAAGTATTCTTAAGGAGTCCTTATGTATTCTTAAGTTTTCTTATGTATTATGTTTTCTTCTGTTTCTTGTTTGTAGAATTTTGTTCTTCGGTGGATTAAGATTACGGAGATTACGGGTTAAGTACATACTCGTATGTAAGATTAAGCGATAGAAATAGGCGTGACTGCAGAAGACTACAAAAGAAAACTACCAATACATACTGTCCGAGACTGTATAAAATACATGATCTTCAGTACTACGGGTGGCTATGCACACTACCGCTGATTACAAACACACCGAAAGTTGCTTTAATAATTATTCAAAGTTTTCACGCGTGGCTACGCAGGTTACGGTTCTACCGTACTACAGACTGACGATGTTGGCCAAAAAAGATTATGTAGAAAACGAACTTAACCGTGCTGTATCTGTACTTGGATTTTTTTCGTAATTTTATCGCTTTAACTATGTATTTGTTTTCATATTTTGCTCTCGACGACTCAGGTCACAGTCAGATGTTGAAAGTTCCTAAGGAAATGAAGTTTACAGAAATGATCACTCTCATAGTGAAAACTTTGGTTATCAATTTGGAAGCATAAACACCAGACACTCTCCATAAAAAAAACGTAGGAGACAACGCGAACTGGTGGTTGAGCACAGCCGAAGAACCGGTTTTACGTGTATGCAAATTTCAAAGATTTCGATTCTCAACACATTCTATTTGTTTAGACAAGTAAAGGACCGAACAAAGCAAGTCGAAAGGCAAGTCGTGCGATCGGCAGTCGTACATGTAACGTGCCACGTCAGGTGGCACCGGTGACTGGAGAGCAAAATCTGAAAACATATACGCAAAGAGAGCAGAATATGAGAAAAATGGAAGTATGTGCTAGCTGAATATTTACTACTCTACTATGTTTGCAAAATGTATTATCCTCGTAACCGGAACAATACGGAATGGTGGGATTTTCAGAAAAGCAGTATTGTGGGATTTGTTTTCAGGGTTATTTGTACATACCACATTACCTTCCACGATTCCAACGACGGATCTATTCAAATTAATGATTTCCTTATTGAACCGAATAGCGATTTAGGATGTGGATCGTTTTGTACGTACCACGTAGCGTCGTGTACAAAAGATTTTGGACTGTATGCCATCAAGTCAGTTTCCAAAACGAAAGCTCAAAGAAACTCCATGCTGTTTAAGTAAGTCTTGCATTCGAAGATTCTGCAAAGTTTGACAATTTTTTGAAGATGTGCTTAGTAGTGCTAAGTGTTTAAGGGAAGTCGCCCGTGTTCGTGTACATTTCCCCGACAGATCGTTCTTGCACGGATCCGGACTTGCACGATTTTTTTGGAATTTTAAAATAATTTTACAATATTTTAAATTCATTTCAATATTTAAAAAACATGCGAGAACAGTGAACATCGTAAGAACGATCTCCATGGCAAGTTCACTTACGTGCAAAGTTTGCAAGAGATCGGTCCATAATAAGATTTTAGGCACAAATGAATGCATTGTGTCATAAAGTCCCTTTCGGAATCTTGTTACCGTATCAACTCTTCAACCCGACGGTGCGCGCGAAAACGGATTTTACGCCTATGTTAACAAATCTTTTGGCCACCCATTGTTGAAAAACGATTCAAAAAAGTTTATGGAAAAGCGCGAAAGCAAACGTTACCGTGGATGCGCATGAATTCAGTGCTACGTACCGTACGAGTAATATGTACCTGGCTAAAAAACCCATACAGGTTAAAGCGTTAATGCCGTTCACCGCATTTTTATTAGGTTTTGTGTTGTCTTGGAAAATGGGAAACTGTTCGAGTTTGCCGCTTGTCAAATTACTAACAGTAACCGTTCATCTTAAATCACAAAACTTCAGTCTTACTCCGTGATCGAAATACGGTGATTGTTAGAGTACAATATGGGATTAGGAACGGGCCAATTTCGTGGTAGTTTGTCAGTTACCGCTGCATCTGGCGACAGTTTCTTGAGCACTGGAGCAATACTGCGCCATTGTAGAGTACACTGTATACTGTACACCTGTTTTGGTTATTTAAATGAGTTTTCATTTTAAATGGTTATTTAAATGGTTTCCATTGTTTTGAAAATCGGAATCCGTATCCGGAAAATCGGAAAATCGTGACGTAGTAACTGATGATAATTTCAGGCAGTCGAAAAACCCCTTTTACCACATTGAGAGGGAAGCATCCATACTGAAGCAAATTTATCATCCCAACATTGCCAAACTCTTTGAGATCATGGACGATCCGAAAGAAGACATCTTGTACTTTGTATTTGAATACATGGATCGTGGTTCCATATTAGTCATTCCAACTGGTAAGTGGTCTTTGGGGGATCAGGAGTTTTAGGTTTATGCTCGGGTGCGCTGACAAGTATCGCTGACCAGATTAGTTTGAGAAATAGCGGGGTTGACTGCAGCTGATACCATTGGAAAACATGGTCAACAGTGGTACGGCTTATGTCGCAGTCGCAATGAACGACCTTTTGTTTTGGTTGCAGACGCCCCTTTACAAGAGCCAGTGGCGATATCGTACTTCCGCGATGTAAGTGCAAGTTCACGAAGTCGATCAACACAACTATAGCACGGCAAAGGACCCAATAACTGTAACGAGCTACAGCGCTCACCCAGCAACTGTAAAATTTTTTAAAGCGCAGCTGGAAACACACATTGCACTGTGCGTCGGGCAATGTGACTATAAAGGCAATGGAATGACCAGAAGCGGCCACCAATGACCAAAGTAAAAAAGCAAACCTATGAAATAGTGAAAAGCTAAGTCGGGAAGGAGGAGAACGATTTTTCTCAACATTCAAGGGGGCGGGCGAAATTTACAGCAAGTTCGTGATCGTTTTGCAAACTCCCACAAATTTCGTCGAAGGGTGGGTTTTGCTCTGGGTAATGAATATTATGAGAAGCTGGCATGATTGTGTAATACACGCATTTGATTAAAATCCTTCGCGAGAAGCCAACGAGCAGGTTGACTGAAAAAATTGTTAGCAATTCAACTGAAAATAACGAATACATTTCTTCTTGGTGATACATGTGCTTTGCTGACCTACTCGTACTAAGGTGTTCAGTAAGTTATACCCATTTAAAAAAGACAGCAGTTAAAACCGAGCAGTAAAAAATAGTTGTTGCGTTTTACACTTCGAGTATAAAAAAAACGGCTGAAAACAAATTTAGTTAACACACCTGTCCCAACTTGGCTGATCAGGGCTGTGTTTCAAATTAATGCCAGAGCGGTCATTTGGTCGCTTAAGGAAAATTGCCCGGTGCATGGCGTCGAAAATGGGATACATACACTAAAGCTTTCGCTTTCGCGCACTCCAAAATTCAGATCACTATTGTGCACCAAAAGTCGGGTAATAACCAGATTTTTGGTGCACAACAATGCATTTAAACTTTTCTCCACTTTAGCACGCCATATCTCGACAACCGGATGTTGCACGCGCAAACGGTTTTCAGAACAATGTATACAAATGTTTTAGCTTTAGAATTACATAAAATATAACAAAAAGGGGATTCGGGGTGCGTGAAAGTTTTAGTGTATGTTTCCCATTTTTAACGCTATGTACCCTGCCATTTTCCTTAAGTGGACAACTATCTTAAGTGAATGAGCGATTGTCGTTCAGGTGGCCACCTGAAATATAAAAGTCCACAACTAGCTTTTCTTTCGGCTTTTTCGATTCAACAGGGTGTACTCTTCTCAGAGTACCTGAAATTTTTAAAAAGCTAGTTTTTTTGTGGAACTGTAAATAGCTTTTTCAAAAATTTCTGGTACTCTGTGAAGGATATATCCTGTTTATTTGAAGTTTATTCGAAGAAAAATACCGGCAGAAAATCGAGTTGTGGAGTTTTCTGTTTCGGAAGGTCGACTTAAACGACCATACGAGTAGATGTTAAGGTTTATCGTACCAGTTCTTTAGTTTCGGCACTGAGAAATCGTGTTTTCAGGTGCTGTACGGCGTCGAATATTTGCATTCGAAGAATATCATTCATCGTGATCTCAAACCGGAAAACATGTTGTTAAACTCCTTCGGGAGAGTGAAGTTAGTTGATTTCGGCCTGAGTTTCGTCCATGAGGAAGAAAACGATCGGGCAAAGGTAAAGTGGGCCGACCCAGCCACGACTGTATACTTTCTTTATTGTGAAATCATCGACAAGAGAATGCCGGTTTCAGGACAATGACAGCGTCCGTGATTTCGCCAATCATGCGACTTCGTTACTCACCGCTAACTGGATATATGCACCCGTTGTCACCATCTTCACCGGTACCGCCGCAGTCCTGCTCAACATATTGGTCCTAAATGCCTTATTGCGACGTGAAAACATGGCCGTGCCCTTTACCGTGTACCTGATTAACCTGATGATGGCTAATATTCAGTTTGTTATTTTTGGAAACCCTCTTGATATTGTCAACAGTGGGTAAAGCACATGGTATTTGGGATGGGCGGTGTGAACGTTGTATCTGTATGCTTAATGTGTCGTGCAATGCGCTATGGTCTCGGCGCAGGTTAGGGCGCTCTAAAAGATTACGGGAATAAATAAGATGTGTAGCCTTCCTACTCTATCTGCAGCTATGCGTATTTTTTTTCACTTGACTTTGGCATGGTTGTATCTATGAACAATTTTCGCAGCTATAAACAATCTCGTATTCATTTGCGTTAAAATTCTGCTTTATAAGACAGGACAAATAAACGGCCGTATATGAGTAAGTAGTCTTTGCCTCCTCCTTCCGTCTTCTTATTTTTGTCAGTAACCTTCTCCTTCGCCTTCTCTTTTTGCCTTTTCCGCCTTTTCCTTCTCTTTCCCCTTCCAATTTTTAGGCCTCTGCCTTCTGGCATTTTGTCATACAGATACTTCAGCTGCCGTGGGCGCTATACTGAATTGACGAGGAATCAGCGATCTCAATAGAAAGCCGGTTGTGTTGACCTTTGAGAACGATAATGACTCCACCACATCGTTTTTGAACTTTCCCTCATTACGTTTTACGCAAGTAGTGTCCGAATAATAAAAAGCGTATCGTTACAACTGTAGTACAGTTGTTCATGTACAACACCATGCGTTCGATGCCTTCTTGTACTTATGGATCTCTTTGCGGATGTGGATGGTTTTGCATATTATTTAAAAGGACCCAATTGCATGGTTGGAAGGAAAAATATTGGCAGGATTTGCAGCGTTCTGGAAGGTAGTGCGAAGAATTTTTCCAAAGAAAAGCCGTAGAAGACAAGATGGCCTTCAGTTGCAGTCGCTCTGCGACTATCTTCTCCAACATTCTGGAAAAAAAGCAAAGGCAAGTTTAACAATTTCGTCGATACCAAAACACAATTTTCCGCAAATATGTGTGTCTAATAAGGAGCCAGCATTCGCGACTTCACCAGTACGATCACAAATGCACCATAACGAAGCAGAAAGATCTTCTAAACTAAAACAGCTTTAAACGCATAAGAGGAATTTTTCAAAATACGCGAGGTCTGAAAGCCAGAATCAGCTGAAAAACATGCAGAAACAAATATTTTACATAAGAAACACACACAAAATCCAAAAACAGCCATACCCTTTAAGCAATGCACGGACATTCAGCGAAACCTGGCAGCAAGTTTTTGTGGGGATGACAACTTGGTCCTTCTGAATCATGCGGTAGAGTTGATATAGATTATCGTGAACGAAAGGTACTTGTCCAAATAACAATGCGAATAAAGTGACACCCAGTGCCCACATCTCCATGGCCTTTGCGGAGTAACCGCTTGTTATTTCCTCGTTAAGACATTCGGGAGCGGTAAAGGCTGGCGTACCGTACGGCAGACGAGTAGTACATTTCCTCTAATTTTAGTTATCGCATTTGTTTTTCTTGTTTTGAACCCTTTGTTTTGAACCCTACAAAAGAAGGTATTACTGATGTCACATTTTTGCAGCAGTATGTTGCTCTAACAAATGCAATAAAACAACACTAAAACCATTGAAGTGTAGGATATTGTAGCGACACGATAACTGAACCTAATTCATTGTGTGGATTTTATTTTTACTTTCGATAACAAATTTTACGGAGTTTCTAAAACATCAGGAAGAGGAAAGACATTGTTAGTCAGCGAGTTTTTTAAACTGTACAATGTTCGCACAAGTGAAGATTTCGCAATATGCGATTCCAGGATAAATCACTCTTAATGGTTTATTTTTTGTGCGTGCGTACTACTATATATGTACGTGGGACGTCGAAATCGGAAAACTGCCAGGAGGAAGGTAATCATGGCGGCAAAGGCAAAGGTAAAGGTAAAATAGAGAAGGGCAAACTGAAAAGGCAAAGGTAAAGGTAAAATAGAGAAGGGCAAACTGAAAAGGCAAAGGTAAAGGGCGGGCAAAGGCAAAGTCGAAAAAGGCAAACTGTAAGGGTAGGCCGCCTGTAAGGGTACACTGCAGCAGTATACAGTTCATTTCCTAATTTTTAGTTCAAGCCTACTGTAGTTAGTGTGGTTGTATACGCACTGTGCTTGCTGTACTGTACTACCGCTGCAATGCATACTGAATTTCATTCTAAAGGGATGTAAATAGAGCGGACGCACAGAGCATTCTCGTTCTCTAAAGCTGTGTATAAGCACCACCCTTGTTTCCGCCTCTAAACAAAAAAATTAGGAAATCGACTGTATTCCAAGTTACCAGAATCATTGAAAATGCATCTCTGTTATGCGTTTTGAAAAGATATGGCGCACGCGCAGCAGCTAGGGCGGTTCACTACTGTCAAAATTTTTCTACTGAACTGGCAAAGAATCAGAACAATAGTCGTAATATTTGATGTAACAACAAAGTTTGAACAGGATGACAAGGTTACCGATGTTCAACTAAAAATTTCAAGTCTTTATAAAATAAAGACATGCACCACCGCGGAGGCTCCATAGGAGCCAGCCAAAAGTGTTTGACACAGCAGTATCAAAAAGGGTAGTATATCACACTAAATCACGAATTGCCGATAAATGATAATAACATCGAAGCAGTGGTAACGCAGTCGCATAGCCAAAAAGCTAGAAAGCAGCGCTAGCAGGGAAATTATTTCAACCATAGAAATATGGCGTGTCATTTCATACAGTAACTAAAGACTTCACGGTTTTTTTTCCGGACGTGGTTTTTATCCGAGAAACCAGTTGGCTCGCGGCGGCACCATATACCGTGAGCGAGATCTTTGGGCAAAGCGGTAGGCCAAAGCTGGATTACGGGGCTGCTCTAGGCCCTCTGAATTTTCCAACATGGCAGCGAGGAACGCTAAGTTGGAACGTAGCAACGCGGCGGATGCGCTAGATCCGTTTTCTTCGGAGTTTTTGGTGCGGAGAAATTGCGCCGGATATTTTGGGGTTTCTGCAATTTCCGGCTGGGAGCGGGATTCGATGGCCATCGACGGTTCAGCCCGCTGCATAATGAAAAAGCGTCCTTGCGGCCACGGTTGGACTTGAAGCGAGGACTTGTCCATGTTCGTCAACGTCGCTAGAACCCATTGAGACACACTGACCCCCAACAGCGTTACAGTGCCGAGCACAACAACCGCGGCCAGGGTGCGGTGCGCAACACATGCTTTGCACTTGCCCATTTTAACAAAAGAACAGCAAAATAAGCATGCTCGCAAATTACAGGAACATTGTTTTGGTGCAGATTATCACCGCAAACAAAACGTACCCTAGTTGTCGTACGTACTTTCCTTCGCACCCTATATATTCGTAAAATCTGCGCACATTTTAACCGTTCCGCTACGACATTTTAACAACCCCGCTTCATTTGGGGCGTTGTCCGGTTTGTGCGTCATTATGGGATTTCACTGAGTATTTTAACTCTGTAGTGCGTTTGCGCGATCACAAGTACAACGTCAATTAAAAAGAAAAGTGCAATAAGGAATAGTGCAATTTTATAACATGGCTGGTGAAGATGACATTGCGTGATGTGCTTGCAAGCTGTTTCCGCCTCAAAATTTCAACAGGATGCGCGCTTGAAACAAAAATAAACAGGGATGCATTTTACACCCAAGTGGGATGCTTCCGGATTTAGTTTCCCAATGACTTAATGACCGCCCACCAGCTCGTATGCGGTAGGGCAAAACGCTCAGCTCTAAATAGACACCTGGCTTTGTACAGATAGATTGCAACTCGTACGCGGTACGCAGGGATTTCGTGGCTGAGAAGAGGCGGAGAAATGGAAGAAAAGATTTTCGAAGTATGAGCGAAAACTGAAAAACACTGGAAAAGCGCACATTCTGGAAACAGAAAAAATTTTTGCACAGTCGACACATAAAAAACGTTTTCGAAATTAATTCTTAAAAAACATACAAATCTGTTACGTTTCCATAAAAACAGAAAATATGAATCCTATAAATTATAAGCATTTTGTAAACTGATCTGAGACTACTGCAAGACCATTTCTTGTTGCATCGTAAAACGGCAGCCTGTCCGTGCCAGCCCAGTCCAGCAGTACCTGGGTAATGCCATAAACATGCTTTATTAGGCATCTGTATCCCAGCTGATTGTTTCCATCTCATGAGAACACCTAAATCGATGCTGACATCACAGTGCCCAATTATTACTTCCTAGTTGAGCGACTCAGCAGCATTCTCGTCCGGCAGGCTGCGCATCATGTTTGTCTAAATAATGTTCAATATCCGGTTCGTAATTGGTAACCATTACGTACTATGTTGTGATTTTACAAGCCCGTTGCAAAAATCGGGGAAAACTATAACAGTGAAATTCGGTAAAGCCTAGCTTAACCCTCCAGCGGGAGGTACCCGAAGGAGTGCGAGTTTCCTTATGAAAATCGGGATTTCCCGATGAAAAAATTCAATTAACAAAGGGAATTTTTTATGAGTTTGTGCTGACCATAGGTCAGCCGTGGTGACTATGTTGTCGCCTGACGCCAATGCCCATGGACAGTCTACAGCATATAAACGTTTAATTCTGTAATAACTAGTCGAAAAATAATTACACAAAAGCAACAACTTCATTAAATAGCCCAAAAAAGAACTTTAAAACAGAAGTATAGAAGTGGTCAACGAGTTGACCACTGGTACAATAAATTAAAAATGACCAAAAGACATTTTCATGCATTTTGACCATTACTACTGTACTGATAAAATATAGATTATTACAGTCACATGGTGCTCCACGAAGCGCTCTTTACAAAGTTTAACATAACACTTGCGTCATTTCGGGCACGGCAACCCGCCTTTATGTTTGCTTGTATTGCCTGCGGTTCTATGCTTCCTGGATTGGGCCAGTGGCTACAAATGCCATTATCAGAAAAGCGGCGGGGGTAGTCCAGGCTGTCCAGCTGGGTAGGAAAGTAACCCGGAAGTAATGTGCACATCGCCAATGTGCACAGTACAGTGCGCAATCGTTCTTGTTTGCAATCGCCCGAGTCTAGCCAAAGTTTCCATGTTTTTTTAAAGCTACCCAGCCC